GGCGACATGAGGGCAACCGGCGGCGGCGGCGGGGGGTGGCGGGGCTGACACCGGGGGCTCCCAGCCCTTACCATTGCTGTAGAGCAGCTGCAGGCGGTAGTGGATCCCGTTGTTGGTCTTTTCGCTGTTGGCTTCCTGAAGTCCCAGAGGGCACGGGAGGCCGGAGGGAAAAAAAAAAATAAAGAAAAGAAAAGATCATATGAAGTTTCTCCAAGTTTCTCCATCACTCGCCCACCGGGGCTGGACGGGGCAGCTCTCAGCCCCCTCCCCTGCCCCGGGAACAGCGAGGGATCAGGGGAGACCCCCTCCCCGGCCGCCCTCTGGGCCGGGGGAGAGTGTGGCGCCCGGGAGGCGGCAGTGGCTCCCGGGACGAGGCGGTGCCGTGGATCCCGAAGGGAACGGAGAGGAGCAGAGAGGCCCCCGGGAGAAGCGGGCGATAGCCCCCGCGGGACGCCGGACTACTCACCTTCTCCTTCTCCACGAAGCCCACGAAGGCGGTGCGCTCGATCTCCACGGGCTGCCCCTGCCGGTCGTACAGAGCCAGGACGAAGTGGAAAAAGTTGGACTTCCTCAGGTTGGAAGGAGGCTGCTTCTCGAAGTGAGCCCGGGCCAGACCCACTCCGCTGGGACCAGAAAGACGCGGTTTAGCGGCAGCCCCGACGACGCGGCCTCACACCGCCTCCCCCCTGCCCCCCCTCAACCGGCTCCCGGGCCCGTGCCTTCCCCCACCGGGACCCGGTTGGGCTCCCCCGGGGGCTGAGCATCTCCCGAGTCGCCCCGGGGCTCTTCCCGTCCGGGCCGGGCGTGCTGAAGCGCGGCCCCGTCGAAACCCCGCAGAACCGGGGAGCACCGCGCAGCCCCGACCCCATCCCGCCCCGCGGTGAGCCCGGAGCACCGAACAGCCCCCCCTAGACCGATACCCGGCACCCACCAACCCTCCCCGGGGGCCGTGACCGCTCGCAGCCGGCCCTGCATGGCGGGGGAACCGCGCTCAGCTCCGCCGGCGCGTTGCCCCGCGGAACGGCATTGGTCCTGCCACTTCTCCAACTGGGCTGGGAAGCTGTCACCCCAGCGCCCATGTGCCTTTATCTTTCAGTTTCAGTCCTGCCAGCCTTTCCTCCCCTCGCCGGGGCGGTGGGTAAACACCGCGACAGGCAGCCCAGAAGCCAACTTGAAATATTTCAGGGTTGTCCCTGCAGAAACTTTCCCTTCCTTAGAGGGCTCCAAAGGGAGGGGTGCAGGGCGAGGTGGGAGACACCGGGAGATGTCAACATTAAACTTCTTAACTGATGCCGGCTCCAGGACTCAGGCTGAGAATCCGGCATCGCTTATTTTGGGTCGGTTTTTTTTTTTTTTTTTCGCGGGGAAGAAGATGGGGAGAAAGAGAAATAAGAGAGAAAGCGAGGCTGGGCACAGCTTCGCCAAATACACCTCCTATTTGAAGGGATTTCTTTTTAAAAAAAAATATCTAAGATTACTAGCAGTGGTTTTACAAAGGGGCTGCGAATTAAATTTCTCCTCGAGAAAGCTTTGCAAAACTCCCTGCTTATCGGAGGAGAAGAAGGAAGGCTGCTGATGCTGGTGAGGATAAGAAAGCGAGGTAGAGAAATATATTTTGGATACATCCGTGCCCAACTCGCTGCTTATCGGAGGAGGAAAGTGTCATTTGGAGATCTTAAAGAGTAAATCAGCAGCAAACATAGTTTTGAAAAGTCCTTCCTCCGCGCGAACACAAGGGGCTAGAGAGATTAAAACCCACCTATTCCTACCTAGCGAAACTCGCCGCTTCCTTGATTATTATTATTACTGTTGTTGTTGTTTAATAAAAAAATCATTCCTTCGGGACAAGAGGGATAAATATTTAACTGGCGGCATCTACGCGAAACTCGCCGCTTTTAGCAAAGCTCCAGAGCCGGTTTTTTGTTGGTGCAGGGGGGGAAAGGCGCTGCCCGCGGGGAGCAGCGCTGCAGGCGGCGTGTGCGCCCCGGGGCGCGGAGCGGGACGCGGGCGCGGAGCCTGCCTACCTCTGAGCGGCCGTGCTGGCGTCCAGGACGCCGGCTCCCTGCATCCACGTCCGCACCGCGTTCATCCCCGCGCCGAGGGGCTCTTCCTTCATGCTGCTCCCACTCCGCTGGATGCTTTCCTGAATCCCAAACATGAATCAGAAACAACAGCGCAAATCTTCCTTCTTTACTCAAAAAAAAAAAAAAAAAAAAGTGATAAAATCGCCAGGCGGACTGTTATATATGTGGTTTTTTTCTCTCTTTCTCTCTTTTTCTCTCTCTCTCTGCAGCTGATCTCTGGAATCAAAGCAAGTCAGAGAAAGCAAACACAGGCACGCACATTAAAAAAAAAAAAAAAAAATCCAGAGGCAATCAGAGCCCGGTTTTGTTGCTGCTGTTTGCTGCGTGTGCAGTTTGTTTTGGGTGCTTGGAGGGGCTGGCGGGGTGCTGGGGGGCTGGTGGCAGCGCTCGCGAAGCCGGAGGAGTACTTGAAGTCCCTTTTGTATGAAGACACCCCTCGGATGGCAGTCAGGCAGAGGAGGAAAAAAAAAAAAAAAAAAAAAAAAAAAAAAAAAAAAAAAAAAAAAAAAAAAAAAAAAAATCTCAGATGGCAGTTTAAGAAACAATAGGACGAACGGGAGCTGCGGCAGGCTCTGCTACATCAAGTGTCATTTTCCAGTGACAAGAGAGGCAAGTTTCCCCCCCCCCCTTTATTCCCCCCCCTTTCTCTCTTTTCTTTCTTTCTTTTCTCCCTCTTTCTTCTCTCCTCTCCCAGCCGAAGCGCTCTCTCCTCCCTCCTTCAGCCGCGCAGGAAGCGAGTTGCCGGAGCCGGGCGCACGCCGGGAAGGGAGCGATTGGGGCGCACCCGCGGCGGCGGCGGTGCGGACGGACGGACGGACAGACGGACGGAGGGAGACCCTGGGGCTCCCGGTGCCCGCGCCCCCCTCCCTCTCCCGCAGCGCCGGGGCGGACTCGCCGTCTCTCCCTATGGGAGCCACTTTGACTGTCCCCGCCGCCGAACACGAGCCCCGCAGCCCCGGCGGGCGGGGGGCGGGGCTTAACGCCGCCACACCCCCCTCATTTGCATCGCGTCACCGCTCAGCAC